GAGAGTGAGAGAGAGAGAGAGAGAGAGAGAGAGCATACAAGCAGGGAAGGGGCAGAGGGAGAGGGAGAAGCAGACTCCTAGCTGAGCAGGGAGCCTGACACAGTAGGACTCGATCCCAGGACTCTGGGATTACGACTTAAGCCACCCAAGCACCCCTTTACTCTCCATTTCTTTATTTTATTTTATTTTTTGTGTGTGCTGCATTCCAGGCAAATGCCTCAGTAAGATCTTTTAGCTTAATGATTCATTCATTAGCTGACTTCAGTATACTATTCGGCACACTGAGTTCACAATTACCTTTTTTTTCATTTCTAGGAATTCTAACTGGGGTTTTCATAATTGTTGGTTTTTAACTTTCTTATTCTTGTTTCGTTGATGAAGTTCCTACCTTCACCTCTCTGAAGTTAGAAACCATACTTACTTCAAAGTCCTTTAGAGTAACTTACATGTATTTTCTTAGGCACAATTTCTTTCATTTGTCGAATTTCTATCTGTCTTTCATAATCTCAGACTTCCTTGATATGTAGTGATTTTAAAAAGCTAACTTGAATCTTAAGTTTTGTCAATTTAAAAATATATTCATACTTTTTCCTATTTCTGATAGTGCAAATCTTTCCAAGATTGCATCTCTCTTTTGAATTATAAAGCTTAGTATAAGTAAGCAGACAACTTTAATTCTGATATGTTATTTTTTCTCTTTTGAAGATTTTCTGGTAGAAAAAATCAACTGTGTGGATATAAGAATGAATTCTCCTAAACGTAAATGTCTGAATGCTGGTTAGAAAAACAAAACAAAACAAAAAAACCAACAAAAAACCACAAAAAGTTCCTGGGCAGGATTATTTGATTTATCAAATATGGTGTAAGTTAATGCTTGATTACTCAGAAATCTCTCTTTTTCTGAGGGGAGCTACTAGAATAGAATAGAATAGAATAGAGTAGAGTAGAGTAGAGTAGAATAGAATAGAAAGAACATTTGGAATCCAAATCACAGAAATTATCCCAGAAAAGGAACGATTTTAATGAGAAGACTATCTGGGGAAAAATTTAGCAATCCTGAAAGTCCTTTTATAAAGAATTTAATAGTCAAATAAAGAACAATTTGCAACAGAGTCTAATGATGGAGAAAAGAAAATAAGGTGAAGAAAGGGAAAAGTGAGTCAGAGCAAATTTAAATCTTGTCCTTTCTATTTAAGTCAAGAATTGAGAAAAATTAGCGTCTGGTTGTTAGTTATGACTCATTGTCTGCTCCTATCAATGCTTTGGCGTGTACACAGAAAGAAAGGATGCCAAACTTTAGTAGTTACTGTAACTTTATCAGAAAAATATCTGATGTTCTAAAAAATAACTAAGCCCACTATTTCAAAATCATATAAATTCTCTGTGGTTATCATTAATCAGAGTACACAACCAGCATATTAAATTTATACTTTCAGACCTATTTCTCACTTTGAAACTCAAATAATTTCCGAGGTTCTATGGACTTGAAAGCTTTTAAGTTATTTGGGCAGATTAAACTTCCAAGACACATTCTACTGTTTCCAAAAATGCTTTTGAAAGGAGAAAAGAAACTACTGTTGAATTTTAAGCAAAACTGTAGTGTTTAAAAGTTCTTGTGGTATATTTCTGTCAACATTGCACTTCTGTTCATCGAGCTTGGAACAAGTCTATTTTTTAGTGTTTGATGAATATCAAAACAGAAAAGTCATTTACAGAATTTATAAAATTCTTCCCTTCCTTTCTGTTTAGCAATAATCCACCAATGTTAAATTTGTTTCTTGGAAAGGTATCTTGATTCTCCAATTCTTAGGGATACTGAAGTGGGTGCCTTTTTTTCTAGCAAGGCCAATGACCCACTAAAAAAACATATGAGGCCCTTAGTGCCAATAACTTTAACCACAGGTGTAAGTAGAAAATATTTTGCTCCTCCACCCAAATAAAAATGACATTAAGAGGGGCGCCTGGGTGACTTAGTCGGTTAAGCATCTGCCTTCAGCTGAGGTAATAATCAGGGTTCTGGGATCCAGCCCCAAATCGGACTCCTTGCTCAGTGGGGAGCCTGTTTCTCCCTCTCCCTGTCTACTGCTTCCCCTCCTTATGCTCTCTCCTGCTTGTTATCTCTCCTCTGTCAAATAAATAAATCTTCAAAAAAAAAAATGACATTAACAAAAATATAAATTCGTTCTACATTACAGTTGGTTAAAGGGAGATGGAATTCCAGTGAGACAGCTTTGTAAAAGAAGGCAGGACATAGGAAGAGAAACACAGAAAGATAAGAACCATACATCTGTGGATAAAGAAAGTAGTTTTCTTGAGGGAGCATCCCTATATCGAATCATTTTTAAATATTATCACTCACCACAAGCTTTTAAAGTACATAAACCACATGAATCTCATTGTTACTAACTGGCTTCAAGCAAGTGACTGATACTAAATCTCAGTGTCTTCATCTGTTAAAAAAGGCAGGTGGGCGGAGGCGGGGAAGTGAATCAGGCCATTGCCCAGGTTGTTTCTACTTTTCTAAGATTGTGTTTTTACTTCTAAGACTTTATTTCTACACAACCCTTTTAGCCTACAGTCAACTAGAATTTAAATTCGGAACATGGCCTAAACCTTTACTGATTCTTATCAGTAAAGAGAAATGGAGCATAAAACTGAAAAATGAGAAACACTGACAAAAAGATCCCATACACAACTGGAGCCAAAGATACAATGACCAAAAACATAGTTAATTAACTAGAAAATCAGGTCAACCAACCATGTAAACAGTTTTGACCAGTCCTCCTGATTGCATATGTAACAGAAGTCAGAAGGATTAGGTTCTAGCCCCATTCTGTCACCGTAGAAAATTCTTGGTTTTGGACTCAGAGATCCCGAGATCAAATCCAGTTCTACCACTCATTGGCTTTGGGTTCTTATAACTTAACCTCTCAAAGCCTCAGTTTCTTCTCCTCTCACCAAGGCACTGTGAGAATTAAAAAGGATATTTAGAGCCTCTACTGCAGGGCCTACAGCATTTTAAGTACTCAATAAATAGGATTTTTGCCTACCTTTCCCCCCATGTGATGGAAATAAGTGCTCTAGGTATTTTTTAGTATGTTAAGAAGACTCAAATGAGAAAGTTGGAATTATGAAACTTCAAAATTAGGAGGAACCAAGGACTGTCAATTTTATGTCTAAATCTCTGTCCAAGTTTTCTATATTTCTTAATATCTTTCCTAGTATCACCCAGGTGTAAGTGACCATCATCTCTTATGCTACTAGAATGACCTCCTTCTAAGCAGCCCTCAAAATCTCTTCATCTCTCCACCCTCTCCACACTCCATTGCTGCACAGCAAAAAGGCTGATGTGCTTAAAACTTTCCCATGTGTACTTAGAATAAAATCCAAACTTTACCATGGCCTTCAAGATCCAACATGGCCTGGGACTGGTCCAAGTTTCTGTTTGCCAACTTTCACTCTTGGCCACTTTTTCACTATGCTCTAGTACAATGTCCTCCTTTCAAAATGTTGGCCTTCAGTTCCCCTTGCTTTCCGGCATTTACACACACTGTTCCTTTTACCTAGACTGAACCCACCCCACCCTCTCCTAGTTAATTCTTATTCTTCCTTCAAAATTCTCAATTCTCCATTCTCAATTCAAATGTTACCTGTTCAAGGACCAAAGTCAGGTCCCTCTGTTATTTCAAGGCACTCCACTTGTCTTCATAGAACTTACAAAAACTGTATTTAAAAATGAGGTTTATAATTCATTGTTTAATGTCTCCAATTAGTATGTTAACTCCAGGAGAACAGGACCATGTTCACCACTGTATCCCCAGTACCTAGGACAGTGCCTGACACATGGTTAAGTACTTCATAAATATCTGTTGATGAGTCAATGGACATCTTGTCCTAATGCCTTATTTTTCAGATTAGAAAGCTGTGGTCAGGATATGTTAAGTGACCTGCCTAAGGGTGGGACACCAAGAGTTCTTATTCTCAGGCCAATGTTCTTTTCACTATACTTATCTCTTTCTAGTTCTAATATTCTGTTATCTCAGAAAACTCAATAAAGGATGTGGAAATATTTTACAGATGACAAACATTGTGTTTTTGGTTTTTTTTCCACTTTGGACAATATACTTAATCTTACTCTATATCTCACACCCTGAAGAGCACTTTAAGAAAACTTTTGCTATCCCGCTTCTCTGCTTCCTCCTTCCATTTAATTCAATATCTGTTTATTTACTGAATAATCTGGTGAGGCAGACCTCTGAACAAGGAATTATAATCAATAAGGTAAATGCAATGGTGGGATGAATGAGGTACACAGGAAGTCCAGTTCAGCTAATAACCGTCCAGGAACCAGTAAAGGAAGAAAACTGACAACCCTCGAAGTAGGTTCTGAAGGATGAACAGGAGTTCGTCAGGTGCAGGCAACATTCCAGGCAAAGGAATGCCTGCACATGTACAGAGGCCCTGCATCCATTCGCCGCGTATTTAGTAAGTGCCCCTATGGTGCTGGTAAACTGCATGGCTCACTGAATTTCATAAACAGTGCTAGAATTGCTACAGGAAAAGGATAGCAGAAAATGGAGCGGGAAGCAGGGGTTTGGTCAGAGTATCTTGTCTGTCATGCTAAAAGGCATGGAAAAACCACCACAGACGTCAGAGCAGGGAAGTGACCACCTCAGACTGACATTTGTTTGAGTACCTACTCAGTTGGGATCACTCCCCCACAAGATCCCCCGGAACCCAAGAAAAAAGAAAAACCGCCTCGAAAATCTGCTTAGGGAAAACACAATCCCAAACGCTGTCTCACACGCGATCTTACAGGATCTTCACTTAAAACTCGATGAGATGGCGGGGCAGTGACCACTGCCAAAGAATTAAAGAGCGAGCCTGGAAGCAGGCAGTTGCTTACGTGACAAATGACCGGCGCCCAGACCAGGCCTAGGGCTCCGGCGCTCCTGGATGCCGCCCCGGGCTTCCCTACTCTGGGCCAGGGCCCCGCTCACCTCTGCAAGTTCTCGATCTCGGCAGGGATGCTCTGCAGCTGATTGCCACCCAGGCTGAGGGTCTGCAGCGCGCGGAGCTCCAGCAACGACGCGGGCACCTCCTGGAAGCAGTTCCCGCTGAGGTTGAGCATCTGGAGGCTGCGGCAGAGCGGCGACTGGGCCAGGCCCTTGGGCAGCGCGCCGGGCCCGCCGAGCCGGTTGTTCCTGGCCAGCAGCGTGCGCAGGCCGCTCAGCGCGAGCAGCTCCGGCCCGAGCGCGGTCAACGCGTTGCCGCTCACGTCCAACAGCTGGAGGTGCTGGAAGCCGCTGCTCAGCGCCCGCGGCAGCGACACCAGACGGTTATGAGGCAGCAGTAGCCGGAGCAGCGCCTCACGGGCGCCGCGCCGCTCCTCGCCCCGCGCCTCCAGCTCCAACTCCACAGTCTCCGGGGACATGCTGAGGCGGGACAAGTTCAATTCGGCCTCCCCCGCCGTGGCCACCGCCGCTCCGGCCTCCTCCATCCCGGCCGCCGCGGGGCCCCTGGCCCCGGAACCGAAGGGCTTCGCGCGCAATCCACAGGCCAGGAGCTCCGCGGCGCCCCGGAACTTGAACCGAGGGCTGCGTCGGAAGTGGCGCGGGCGGGCGCTAACCCCGTGGGCCCCAGCCGAGTCACGCGACGCTAGGCGGCAGGGTGCGCGCGCCGCTTGGCGGGGGGAGGCGGCTGTGTTTCACGTGGCGCGCGGCGCTGAGAAGGGGTGTCGGTGGGGGCAGAGGCCGGGTGGCCGCGCGGTTGTCCTTTGAACCCCGGGGGGTTTGAACAGTCGCGGTTTATAGTCCCTGGAGTCTGGTTGACGTGTCCCCAGAAGGCAGGACTGCCTCGGTAAACAGCCCAAGGACTGTTTGTTTATCTGGCCTTGAGGGTTTGCGCGTCAATGTGCACCGCCCCCTTGGTTCCTACTCTGCGGGATTCTGTGAGAACACAGGAATTTAGTGGTGAATCAGCTTCATTACAGCAAGCCCCAGCAATTTAGAGGCGCGGGATTAACCGAGAGGGCTTCAAAGTACAAAGACAGCTGGACTAGAAATCAGAACCTCTGGATCCTACCTCGGGTTCTGCTATTAAATAAGCCTTGTGTCCTTGGACAAAGAATTTTATTTGTTTCTCCATCCGTAGAGTATGGAGAGTAACCTGTCCTGTTTGCCCTGCAGGGTTAGTTTCTTTTTTAAACACGATAAAAGTAAGGTATACCAAGTAAGGGCGTTTCTACATTTTAGCTATAGAAGGATTTCTGTGGTTTTGGGTTAAGTTGTGGCTAGAAATGAATTTGGGAGCGATGGAAGAGGTTAGATAGCTCAAATTGATCAGTTTAAGAACTAAGGAAGCAGTGAGATTTTGCTGCAGATTAAAACTACAATTAGTTGGCAAAATCCCGACTCTGGCTTTAATTTGTACTTCTAATTAACGTATCTGGCCTAAGCTCGGTCTTTTCTGAAATTCCTTTTTATAATTTTGGAAAGTGATGAGTAGAACCGAGAAAAATACTTAGCAAATTTTTTACAAACCTTATGCATATAAATGTTCAAAGATTGTATAAAGTCAATGACATTAAGTTGCCTTCCTCCTAAAAAGAAGAATAAAGTAACTTTTTTCTTGCCACTCATTTATGTGAGAAACTTACACCTCTTACCTCCTGCCAAATTTTAATTTCTGCTTGAGTTACAGTAAGCAGGAGGATGTACTTTGTCAGTTTAAATCAGAAATAGAATGTTTTTAAAGACTGTTTTAAGGCCAGAAATAGAATGTTTTAAAACCTGTTTCAAAAGGGTACTCTTAAAAATTAGACTTTGTCTTGGATCAAGATTACATATTGGCAAGAACCCTCATATGTGAAAAGTGCAAATACTCAATACAGTTTTATGTGCTATGTGTCTGTGACAAGAATTTAACATGAGAAAAAAATGATTTGAATGTGATTCAGAAATAGTTAAGATTACAAATCAGTGAAATGAAGGGGGGAGATGGAAATAGCCTCAAGTAGTAGAGAATGAAGTTGCCTGAAAGAAAGTCTTGAAGCAATGTTCAGATTAATGTGAGAATCCCCTTTTTCTCATTATAATAAGCCCTATCTCAGCTACCATGGTTGCATCTCTCTTCCCAGCAGCCAGATAAGTCTAAACTCAGCAGTGGGCCTTAAAACTATTCAGGCAGCCTGTGAGTTCTGAAAACCCTGTGGGAGGTGAAGGAACATGGGTGGCTTCTTGTCCTTCACAGTGATGTGAAGACAGCTAGTCTTGCATCCAGCTGAAGGAGGTGTCAGAGATGCAGTGGGGGTACTGGAGAGTGTGAAGGGCAGAGGAGACAGCATAATGCATCATCTAGGGAGAGGGATATGAATTTCAGGAAATTGTGAGAGTATATGGCATATTGGTCCACTTATCAAAACTTAACCATCAACACTGAAAAGAAATTAAATAAAAAGTTAAAAAAAAAACTTAACCATCAAATGACTCTTGGATCAAACTGACTATATTTCAGGATAAGTCTGATTAGGATGTTATTGAAAAAAGAAGGGACATCAAATGAAGGGCACTTCCTCCTTCAGCCATCCTGTCTGCATTTCCTGGGGGCAGGAACTCTGTCTATTTACCAGGGCACCCCTCCCTGAGACATATAGTATGTGCTCAATAAATAGTGAGTAAATGAAATAAATGCACGAATAGGTTTGGGCACACCTGATTAAGATGGCCTTATTGCCCAACTGACTGTGGAAAAAACAGGAAATAAGCTAAGTGGAGAATCCTTTCCTAAATGCAACTAGCTGGTTTCAGATCCTACCTCTGGACATCAGATTTCTCTTATTAAATTCTGATTTTGTTACTTAATCTCCTTAAGCTTTGATTATGAAGACTATTGTCTGTTTCTAGAGTCATTATAAGGCTATATCTAAACTGCTTACCATAGTACATAGTTCAAAGTAAATACTCCATGAGTAGTGGCGATTATTATTATTATTAACACTAATAACAATAGTTGTTATAACTATTACTCTCTCACACTTGTTTTATCATGATCATGTAAAGAGAAAGTTGAGAACAGGCTTCAGTCACGATGGCACCATTTCCTGCATAAACTGTGGTTTTCTGCCTGGATCATGCCATCTTTTAGGGATTATAATTTGAGAGGTTGGTCTGAACTCTCCTTGCCCCTGAGTTTTAGCTCCCCAAATTTATGCTTATTGTCCTGTCCCCTAGTTATATCAAGACACCAGGCCTCCTAAACTGGATTTCTACCTTCATTCTAGCTACCTCTGGATTCCAATAGGCACTCTGAAGCACTGCTTTCATTATTTCAATCCATCTCTCCCCCTCCTCCCCTGACTCCATATCTCCTCATTAGTTGTCAGATAAGGGTCAGTTGCTTTGAGTTCTTCCCATTGTGGAATCCGTCTCAGTTTGGTTTATCCAATTTGGCCTGGATGGCTTAAAATTCTGCCATCTTCCTACCAACCGTAGCCCAGATCTCAAAAAGCTACTCTCTCTCTCTTTAAAGCAGCATTGAAAGAAGAGGGAGCCGTAGTCTTTAAATCCATCATGAGGAGGCAATGGCCTCTATATTTACAGGGGCCCAGAGTGAGTTTGCAGCCAGTTTTGTTGGTTAAGGTCTACAGTTTGCCTATCCTTAGCAGTTTCTTTCTCTGCCTTAGTGTATTCTTGTTGGAGAATTGATAGATTACAAGGCTTTCCTGAGTATCTTTCCCAAACTAGTCTTCTTTATTGAAATTTTTTGAAGATTCAAATAATGACATGGCATTTTTGGATCTAGATGTCTTTGGCTAAGCATTTGTTAGAGTTATAAAAGCATCCTGATGACTACTGTCATCGAGGTCATGGCATTTAGGGGTTTTTCTCATACCTGAGAAGATATTTTCCTCCATGACTATTTTGGGAATTTCAGTGGCTATGTATCCTTCTAATTTTATCCACTTGCTCAGCACATGTTCCATAATTGGGTTGTTTTACCTTTTGATAAATAGCTAGTGATAGCAACAACTGTAAACAAGTTAAAGTACTTCTAGTCCAAGTTTATTCATTCTCAAATACTCATTGAGCACCTCTTGTGTGTAAAAACTGTTAACTCTACGTTGGAAATGTATTGAGATAACTAATAATAATGACTAACATTTATTGGTTGTTTTCTAAGTGCCAGGCACTGTCCTAAGGGCTTTGTAGTCATTATTTTATTTAATCCTTATACTCATTCTATAAGGTAGGTATTATTACTCCTATTTTACAGATAAGAAAACTGAACTGTGGAAAAATTAAGTAGCTTGCCAAGTCACATAGTTCTGATGGGGCTGGATAACCAAATAGTGGAATATGACTCCAAAGTTTATGATTTTGTCCAAATACAATCAATGCCTTTAAAATACTTAAAGTAACAGAAATTAAACAGCAACCCATAATAAAACAAATAATCCAATTTAAAAATGGGCAAAGGATCTGATAGACATTTCTTCAAAGAAGATGTACAAACAGCCAGTAAGTTCATGAAAAGTGCTCAATATGATTAACAAATGCAAATCAAAACTACGAAGAGATACCTTTCACACCCACTAGGATGTCTAAAACCAAAAAATAACGCATGTGAGTGAGGATGTAGAGAAATTGGAACCCTCCTGCACTGCTGCTGGAGTTATAATATGGTGTAATTACTCTGGAAACCAGGTTGGTATTTCCTCAAAAGGTTAATTAAAAAAAAAAAAAAAAAAAGAATTACCATGTAACCCAGAAGTTCCACTCATAGGTATAGATCCAAGAGAACTGAAAACATGTTCACAAAAAAATTTATACAGAAATGTTCATGGTGGAATTATTTATCATAGCCAAAACATGGAAACAATCCAAAGTTGTATCAACTGGTAAACTGACAAATAAAATGTGGTTATCCATACAATGGAATTTTACTTGGCAATAAAAATGAAGTTCTAACACGTGTTGCAGCATGGATAAATTTTGAAAACCTTATGAGAACAAGTAAGTGAAAAAAACCAGTCCCAAAGACCATATAATGTGTCATTCCGTTTATAGGAAATGTCCAAAATAGGCAAATCTGTAAAAACAGAAAATAGATTAGTAGCTGCCAGGGGCTGAGGGAGGAGGGAATGAGGAGTGACTGGTTGACACAGAGTTTCTTTTCAGGGTGATGAAAATGTTCTAAAGTTGAGTGTGATGCTGGTTGTACAACTTATGAATATACTTAAAAAAAATGGAATTATGTACGCCTTAGGTAAACAAATTGGTATATGAATTTTATCTCAATAAAACTGTTATAAATCTAAAGTTACTGAGATAGAAAGTAGCATTTGGTAGCTGGCATACAGATGCATAACCAAATACTATGAAAATTCAGAGTAAAGGCAACTTTCCAGGCTGCTGCAATTAGAAAGCTTTTGATAGAAATAGGATGAGACATATGGAATTGGAGGAAAGGAAAAGAAGGTATTTCTTGAGAAAGAATGAC